TTTGCTAATTGTGCAAACCTGGCAGGGCAGTGAACCTTTCTTTCTGCGATACAGTGTCTCTATCTGCAAACTGGCATGGGTGATAATATGACCGGTGTTGAGGACTGAATACACGGAAAGTACTTAGAACAGTGCCTGATACATAGTAAGAGTGATGTAGTTGCTTGCTATTATTATTACATGCCTTTGGACAATTTATCTCCTTTCTCTGGGCCTCGGTTTCCCCAACTATACAATAAAGAAAGCAGTTCCTACCTGACCTGAGTGCAAATCCTGACTACGCTTCCTTGGACAAATTTCTTGGGTTTTCTTAGCCTCACTCTGCTAAATCTGCTCATCTGTTAAATGGTACTTATTAAGTAGATGGGTGTGGTGATAATTAGATAAGAAAATGTGTATCAAGCATATAACATGGGGCCTAGCACACAGAAAGAGCTAAAACAAAGTTAGCTTTTTTTTTTTTTAGTGGGTGAGAAAGACTTTTCTAAACTATCACGGGTCATGTCCCTGGGAGGAGTATTGTGGTTTTGTCACATGCTTTCCCAGCTATGCTTTATTCACAGACTCCTAGAGTTAGAGGGGTCAGGATTGGAAGGGCCATTTTGCAGATCCATTAATCACTCCATTCAACAGGTATTTACTGATCACCTATTATGAGCCAGGCACTGTTGTAGGTGGCTGGGGAAAGAGAAGTACTGGGGGCCCTAACCTCATGGGGCATTTATTCCCGGGGGGTGGGCAGACAGTAAATGGGTTCGCACATGAATATATGATACAAGTTCACATTCAATCTCTTTATTTTACAGATGGGAGAACTGAAGCCCAAGAGGGGAAGAGATTTTCCTAAAGTCCTCCAGTGTCACAGCAGGGCAAAGACTCCCAAGCAAATCTTTACAGTCCCAGAGTATCCCACCCTTAACGAGCCCTGGTCAGGGCGCCTGAGTGGCTCAGTCTGTTAAGTGACTGACTCTTGATTTCAGCTCAGGTCATGATCTCACGGTTCCTGAGTTTGAGCCCTGCATCGGGCTCTGCACTGACAGCACGGAGCCTGCTTGGGATTCTCTCTCTTTCTTTCTCTGCTCCTTCCCCTCTCGCAATCTCTCTCTCCCCAAATAAATAAACATTTAAAGAAGATTAAAAAAAAAAAAAAAAAAAACAAGCCCTGGTTTCCCCAAGGTCTTAAGATATGCTAGTGGGAACCAACAGTCACTGAATCTTCCTTGACACAGGGACTGTTTTAAGAAATTTACACATCTTTAAAAAAATTTTTTTAAGGGGCGTCTGGGTGGTTAAGCGTCCGACTTCAGCTCGGGTCATGATCTCGCGGTTCGTGAGTTCGAGCCCTGTGTCAGGCTCTGTGCTGACAGCATGGAGCCTGGAGCCTGTTTCGGGTTCTGTCTCCATCTCTCTGCCCCTCCCCTGCTCACGCTCTGTCTCTCTCTTTCTCTCTCAAATATAGAATAAAACATTTTTAATAAAATTTTTTAAATGTTTTTTATCTTTTTTTGTTTAAAAAAATTTTTTTAACGTTTATTATTTATTTATTTATTTATTTTTGAGAGAAAGAGACAGAGAGTGAGGGGGAGAGGGAGACACAATATCGGAAGCAGGCTCCAGGCTCCGAGATGTCAGCACAGAGCCCGACGCAGGGCTTGAACTCACGGACTGTGAGATCATGACCTGAGCTGAGGTTGGACGCTTAACCGACTGAGCCTCCCAGGCGCCCCAAGAAATTTGCACATCTTAGGTCATTGAATCCTCACATCAGTCCTGAGGAGGGAACTGTCATGAATCCTATTTTATAGGTGGGGAAACTGAGAAACAGAGAGATAGAGGATTGAACACAGACCCTCTGGTTCAGGACCCATGACCCACCTCAACCACTGAGCTGCCATGTTGGCTGCATACTTTTCCCCCTGACCCTGGTCTACTCTTCTCCCTCCCTCCCTCCCTTGCTCCCTCCCTCCCTCCCTCCCTCCCTTCCATCCCTAATCCTGGTCTCAATGACTTCTTCCACACTCTGAGTAGCCTGGGGTGAGCCCACCCCCTCTCTCCGGTTCTCAGTTTCCCCATCTGTAAATTGGCAGGATTGCACTGGATTATCCTCAGGGCCTTCCACGAACACCCTCATTAGTCCCTTATCCGTTTGTAACCATTTTATTCACTTACTTGTGTTCTAGCTTGCTTTCCCCACCAGACGGGGGCTCCAGGGAGCAGCATCCTACTGCTTCGGTTTGCCTCTACCTCCCCAGAGCCTGGCACTGTGCCCCGCACTTAGTAGGCCCTCAATAAATATTTGTGGATGAAGAAAGGAAGAAATGACAGCGATTACCCTCAGTGTTCTCAAAACCAGCTCCTGTGCTCTCCCCCTGGCCCCTCTTCCTTTCTCAGCCTGTGGGGGCCCCCTCCCTCCCTCCCTCCCTCTCACCTCCCAGGGCCGGCTCAGGCCCTCCATCCGGCTTGCATTTTTCCGGGTTTGATATCATTTTTTCCACTCTCCGGCTGCTGCCGGCTGCCTCTGCCAACTTTCCACAACTGGAGCCCCTCCCCCACAACCGCAGGCCAGAGACAGCTTGGGGTGGGGGAAGACCCCCCTCCTCCTCCCTTAACCCGAGCTGGAGTTAGGATGAGGAAATAAGTGCCATCAGTGCCCTGCTGGCAAGACTGGGGGCTTGAAGACGGAGGATATGGGGCTCGTCTGCCCCAAGCTCCAGCCTTCTTTGGCACCGTGTTCCTGGTGGCCAAGGCATCCGGGCGGGCAGCTGGTTGGGGGCAGGGGTGTCAGGCGTCAGGGACATGACGGTCCCAACCATTCGCATCTTGTTCTCCTCTCAAAGTAGTGACACCCCTTTCCCCTTCGGCTGGAAACTCCTGACCTGACCCCTAAGGTCCAGCCTCAGCCCCACAGCCCCAGCCAGGCTGGATGCCTCACTACCTCCTACTTCCTGCGCAGACATGAGAGGAGGCTGGGTCCTGGGGTCTAGTCCTCACCCTCCCTAGCTGGGTGACGCTGGGATGCTCACTTCCTCTCTCTGGACTTCAGTTCCCACACTCAGAAAAATGAACGAGTTGAACTAATCCTGGGGATTAATGGATGGGTTTCATGGAGGCAAGGATCCCCCTCCAGGTTAAATCATATGCAAACTTGTGTTTGAAAGTCCCCTTCCCCAGGACTCTATAGCTTTTTGTCACATTCTCCAAGAGGACTGCAGATAAGGGCACAAACCCTAGCCTGACAAGCCTGGATTGGAATTTTGACAACTTCACTTATAGTAGCTAAATGATCTTGACCGCGGACCTTCACCGTCTATTGGTCTATTTTCCTAATTAGTAAACAGGGTTTGTGAAGATCAATTCCTAGTTGTGACAGCTTAGAACACAGCTCCTAACAAACGATAGCTATTACATCGTGAGGATGAATGCTGAGATTCCTTCCAGATAAGATTTTATGAATCTACAATCTCAAAAAATGGGTTTATGAGAAAACAGGAGGTCAGCACACTGAACTGTGGTTGTTTATGCTCCACGGGGTCTCCCTCGAAGATGGGGGAGGGGGCACGAGGGGTGCCGCACAGGGGTCATGCCCAGTGTTCGGAGAAGGGGAGAAGGGCCTGAACACACAATTGATCCAATGATTTGACTGACCTTGACCCAAGTCAGCAGGTTAACCCAATCCGCAGCCAGGGTAGATGGGAGAGTGGGAGGTGGAGATGCCTGGAAGATTCCAAAAGAAGAGGTCTGGGCATGCAGACAGGACATCCTTCTGGTCTGGTTTATTGTGAGTTGGCCAGAGCCAAGGGACAAGGAAGATTTTTACAAAAAGACACGCACCGCGTAAAAAAAACAAAAACAAAACCCTACTCTGTGCCCAACTTGAGGCTTCGGTCCCATAGTCTGTCCACCCCTTCCTGGGGCGGAGGGGGTCCCTGAAGCTGCAGCTCTGGGAGATGCTGCGGCCCTCGGGGCAGCGGACAGGCACAGCCCACTGTGCCGAGTCCAGGCAACTGCGTCGAGGACCCTCGGTGGCATCGGTGGAGCTCAGAATGCAGCCCAGTGTTCCGCCACCCCCAGAAGGCAGGGCGGCCTCAGAGCACCGCCAGGTTGTGGCAAGACTTAGAGCGGGCCTTGAGTGCCCGGCGGGCGCTGCGGGCCGTCAGCCGTGCCAGGAAGCGACGAGCCCGCTGACCCAGGCTGGCGCGCCGTCGGGGCGCGGGAGGCGCCGGGGCCGAGCTGTCCCGGCGGCGCAAGCGCAGTTGGCGCACCACGCCCTCGAAGAGCTCGGCCACGTTGTGCTGCAGCGTGGCCGACGTCTCGATGAACTTGCAGTCGAACACCACCGCGCAGGCGCGGCCCTCTGAGGGGCGGGGTCAGACGGGCCGGGTGGAGGGGGACATAAAGGTAGGAAGAGGTGCGTTGAGTCTCAAGCTGAGTCACTTTTTTCTTTGTGCCCTAACTTGCGTTGGGTGCCAGGGGATTCCGAGGACAACGAGACCCGGCTCTGAGGAGTTAGTGCACAGGCTAGTGACTGATACTGATGCAAAGCGAGGCTGGGAAGGGTCTTGAATGCCAGGTAAAGGGTCTAAGCTGTGCATTAGAATTATCTGGGGGAGCTTGTTAAAATGCGGATTCCTGAAACCACCAGCCAAGAATCTGATTTGGGAGGTTTGGGATGAGATCTGGGACAGCATTTTCACAAAATCGCCTGGGGGTTTTGCTGCGGAATTTGGGGATGTTTGCTCACAAGGCATATATCGTCTTCCATCTCCAGGAAGCCACTGGGCTGGGAGACAGGGGCCTGGGTTCTAGCCCCCAGTGGCTGGTGACCCCGTGGAGCTGGCTTACCTTCTCTGGCTCTCAGTTTCCATATTTTTTAGATTTTGCCCTGTGAGGAAGGCCATTTTGAGATCTTTATGGGTCCCACATGTTATCAAATGTATTGAAATTAATTCCCCATCCCACTTTAAATACAACTTACATATAACTAAACGTTTTGGTTTGCAGTTGTTGGCTGTCACAATATGAAGTTTTGTAGATGATTAAAGCTTTGTGAAATTGGAATTTACAAATTTCTCACTGTATTTGTTTTGGAGCTCATAATTGTTTCAGGTCTCAGGTATAAGCCCCTGAAAAGATTGTAGGCAGTGGACCTATCCCGTCCGGTGGATAAAGTGTCTCTGATTAAGGGCATGGGGGAACCATAGGGGGATTTTTACGCAAAGTAGTGACAAGGTCAGGTCTGGTTTTGGAAAACTCTGGCAGCTGGCGAGGAGAACTGACTGAACGGGGAGAGAGAAGTAGGGGGGCTGGCCCAGACTAAGGTGGAGATGCCAGGATGGGGCAGAGGTTGTGGGCATGGGGGGAAGGGAACGTGGGGTTAAGGGAGGTGGGCCTCACAGGATTTGGGGGACTGGTTTCCGGAAGTGAGAGAGGAGGCGAGAACAGTTCCTAGCTTTCAGGCTGAGGCAAGTAGATCAGGATGGGGCCAGGGTTAGGGTTAGCGGCAGAGAGAAAGCTGGAGGAGGAGGGTGGAGTAGACGGCTCACCTTCCACGGAGACTTCCCGGCAGCGTGCCAGGTCAGCCTTGTTGCCCACCAGGATGATGGGCACATGGTCGGCCTGATGCGTGCGCCGCAGCTGAATGCGGAGCTCAGAGGCACTCTCGAAGCTGCCTCTGTCTGCGATGGAATACACGATGACATAGGCGCTGCCCACCTGCAGGCATGAATCCTGGCTCCAGCTTTCATCCTGCAACAGAGGGACCCCAGGCCTATCCTCAAACCGTAAGGTACCTACCTCTCCGCTAGAGGGGCGTCGCTGCGAAAGGTGGGGCTGGGATGGTCTGATGGGTGGACCCGGGCTGAGGCTGGGATGGATGGTCTGATGGGTGGACCGGGGCTGAGGCTTACAATCTAGACAGGTTTGAGGAACAAATTCTGCCGTTGTTGTCTGTATCGTCACCGTGGGCAAACCACCAACCCTCTCTGAGCCCCAGTTTCTCTTTGCAAAATTGGGCTAGTGAACCCACCTGACTATATTTTCTCATTCCTGGATTCCTAGTGTGGGCTGGACACTGGAGACCAAAGATTTGTTTGGTTTCTCTTCCTGCTGAGAAGGGTTCAGCTCTTGTGTCTGGTTTCTGAGGAGGGCTCAGTCTTGCTAGACTGACAGCAAGGAGCCTGCTTAAGATTCCCTCCCTCCCTCCCCCCACCTCTCTCTCAAATAAATAAGTAACTAAGTAAATAAATACTCAATCCAATGACACTGCTACTGTGGACCCTTTTTGGAAATTGCCTCGACCCTCCACCGTCACTAACTTGTTCAAACTGAACCAGTTTCCCCATTTTACTTGTAGGAAAACCAAGGGCCAGAGGAGAGAGAAAACGTTCTCAAGGCCATACAGCCAGCCAGCTGGGCACAGAATTCCAGTTCCAGTAATCCTCCCCCCGCCTGCCTCCCAAATGGGACTTCCAGGCTGATCCCTTTTCTTAATTCACTGGACTCTGCCCCATAGGATTTTCAATTGCATTCAAAAGTAGCCCCTCCCTCACCAGCCTGTGAGCTCCATAAGGCCAGGGGACGCATCTATCTTATACGCTGCTGGGTCTCCAGTGTCCTGGCCCGTGATACATATCCCGCTAGTGTTTTTTAATGAATGGGTAAAGGGGTGAAACCCCAGCTGAAGGCTCAGAAGGTGGTGTTCCCAGTGGCGATGGAGAGGGACAGTCCTCGTGCATAAGAGTGCAGACTCGGAGGGCACCTGAGTGGCTCAGTTGGTTAAGCAGCTGAATCTTGACTTTGGTTCAGGTCATGATCTCACAGTTCGTGAGTTTGAGCCCCACATTGGGCTCTGCGCTGACAGCACGGAGCCTGCTTGGGATTCTCTCTCTCTCCACCCCTCCCCTGCTCTCTCACTCTCTCTCTCTCTCTCAAAACAAAACAAAAAAAAACTTAAAAAAAAAAGAATACAGGATCAGAGTCTTACAGATCTGGGTTTGAATTCCACTTGCTCTCTGACAACTTTGGACCCATTACTGAACCTCTCTGAGCTTTGGTTTACTCATCAGTAGAATGGGAATCAGAATACTCACAGATTTTGCTTTGCCTGAACATCATAATATATATACAGAGCTTAGCACAGGGGCTGACTCTTGGGAAAAGGGTGGGCTTCCACCCAGCTGCATAAATGCCAGCTGCTGTTAGGAAGACCGTCATCATCCTCATCACGCTCATTTGGACTTGGGTGTTCTTTTATTCTGCCGGAAAAGAATTGGCCACTTAGCTCCTTTGTCCCCATCCTTTCTGCCTATCGCTAGGGCTGTCAGCCATTCTGGCCAATCACCCAACAGTGCCCTCCTAAGCCCCACCCCATGGGCGAGGCCTCTCTGCATGTTAGGGGCGGGGCCTACCCCTTACTGAGATAGACTCCCGGTGATTTTTACATCCTTCTCTCTGGTTGTATTTCTTCAAAGTTCTACAGTGAGCATGTATTATCTGTATAGCAAGAAAAAAGAAAACTCAGACAAGGTGAGACAAGCATAACAGGGACATATCCCTGTCTGCTTTCTTCCTGCTCTGGAAGGGGGTAGGGAAGGACTTCCTTTGGTTTCTTTCTTTACTAGCTACCAAGTTACGAGTCATTAGAATGATCATTATTTACATCTCTTCACCTATTTTCAGCATTGTCTCATGCTGCACACCGCTTGCTCACCACTGTGAAATTGCATAAGGACTTAAAAAAACCAGCTGGTAAGGAAGGCAGGAACGATCAACCCATCTATCAGTTGAGAAAACTGAAGCTCAGGGTGACTGGTGAGTCACCTGCACAAAGCCACACAGCTGGGAGGCAAGAGAAAGGGGGTCGGTTTACCCTCAGACATTTTGGTGCTAAATGCGGTGTTCCTCCTTCTGCACAGTGTGTGGGGGGTAGTGTATGGGATGAGGGTCCTGAGGACAAGGTGGGGGTCGGCAGGGGGAGAAGCACATCCTGGGACGGCTGTAGAGGGCATCAATGCAGTGAGAAAGGACTCACGGTCATGAGGTTCTTCAGTCTTTGGTTCCAAAGGCCGCTTGGGAGTTGTTGGCCTTGGGGGTTGCCAAGGATGGCCTCTGCCATGTCCCTGTTGTGTAGTGTCCGAGGAGGGGACAGGGGTCTGGTCCTAGGCTCAGCACCTCCCCCCCCCCCAAGTCCTGCCTGCTGTGCCATACCCGTTTCTCAGCCTCCCAGGTGTCCATGACCACCAGCGTGGTATCCTCTCCATCCACCGTGAGGGTCCTCTCGTACACATCTGCAACCAAGGGAAGAGCCAGATCTCAGGGAGGAGGAGCAGGCCTGGGGAGGGTGTGGCCTCCCCTAGTCCCCTTTCTGATCACAGCGCCCCCTCCACTTGTGTTGGAAGTGCTCCCCGCACTTGCTTGATGTCTTGTCTCTCCTGACAGGTCAGGAAGCTCCACGAGGAGCCCATGTCTCCCCAGCTGCCAGCAAGATATCTGACACATAGTAGGTGCTGAGAAAACTTTTGCTACTTTGGTTGGTTGTTGGTTGACACATATGAGATGGTGGGGTTAAAGTTGGCTGGGAATTCTCTCATTCCTGTTCTGTCCCTGGCTTAGTGCATGCTTCAGGCAGGTCGTATGAACCCTCTTTGGGCCTCAATCTCCGCATCGGTCACGCCTACAGGTACACGTATGTACATTGCCTCATATGGGTTCTCACACTCAGAGGGGTCAAGGCTAGAGAAGGGGCCTGGCCAGAGTGTCCCCACTGTCTCTTTGCTTTTAACCAACCTCCCTCTCTACTCATCCTGTGGACTCTCAGCTAGTCCTGTAGGGACCCCTCTTCATTTCCTCTGTCCTGTCCCTTCTCCCCTCATCCTGGGGCCCCCGGCTCTCTCTGCTCACTGCATCACTTGAGGATAAGGGAACCTGGGAAGTCTCCATTTGGGTCAAGATCTTAATTTTGCTGCTGGTCATGGTGGGCGTGGATGGTTGTCTGTGGAGGTAGGAGGATCTGAGAGGTGGAAGTTGGGGCTGGGAGTTTCTGAGCTGGCTGGAAGCCTACTTATTTCTTTCCCTTTGAGACTCATGGAGCTCAGAATTGCTTCCCTTATGACATGGAAATTAATCATCCCTGAGAAACTGGCAAAATTCTCACAATTCAACAAATTTCCCTCCTCTAGACCATTGTGTGGGCTGTGCCCTGCACAACTGTCAGGGGGCATCATTCACTTCACAGTCTATGTGAATGATGCCCTTTAGAGTTGAGCAGTGTGTGAGTTGCACAACTGTTCTTGGCAGCCTTGTGCCCCTGACTACAGGGCTTTTACTCCTGTGGCCACAACCCAGCCCAGCCCACAGAGTCCCTACCTCCAAGCTGTTCATGGAGGTCTCGCTCTTGCTTCCCTGCAAAGAGGCTGGCCAGGCTGGTCTTCCCTACGCCAGGATCTCCAAGCAGTACCACGCGGTAGAGGGCCTCCCAGGAGCCTTCAGAGTCGCTGGATTCAGAGGACCAACCATTGGGGGCAGGTGAAGGTTGCCGGGGGGGAGGATTGAGGGAGGCTGACTGGCCCAGCCGGGGATGCTGGGATTTTGTGGAAGGTGCTGTACACAGGAGGCCAGGTTGGTGGCCCCGGGCGGACAAGGGCAGTGGAGTGCTGGCTCGCCGACGCAGGGGGGTCTTTGCTTCTTGCTGGGTGTTTAGTGTCATCCTTGGGTGGGAGGGGCTTTGCTCCTTCCTTCCTTCCTTCCTTCCTTCCTTCCTTCCTTCCTTCTGTGAGCAAGAAGCAGGAATGGGCAGTGAGCCAGGTGCTGTCACCCCCTTCTGCAGGGTCCAGATGAGCTTCTGAGATGACTTCCTCCCAAACCTTCTCTTGTTCAAATGACAGGAGGAGGCACCTCAGCTCCTTGGGGTGGGGGCTTCCTGGCTTCAGGGCCAGAGTAAGCCTAGAGCAGGCTGGGAGGGGTGAGCGTGCAGGCTGTGAGCACACGCATGCACACCCAGAGGTCACTTCCTATGCCTTGAAGATGACCGAATACCCCAGGACACACAGGCAGAGACAGGCAGAGGGGCAGCAGGGAGGTGGGATCCATACAAGCATGCACACACCCTGTCCACAGACGTGTCCCTCCCATTCGGAACATGGGACCTACGTTCTGAAAGACACCTGAATTGCCCCGGCCCTCCCCTACCCCACAGCTCACTTCCCCAAGGTTCAGATCGGGGTTGGGGGGTACGAAGGAGGGTTGAGGGCCCCTGGGGGGTTCACTTCCGCTGAGGGCTAAGAGGCAGCACGGGGTGGGTTGGTATTCCGAAGGGCGATGGGAATCTGGGGGTTCCCTGGGCTGTAACTCGAGAGCCCTGGTGCCATGGGAACGGCGTGTCCGGCCCGCCCCCTACGTGAAAAATTCAGGAGATGCTGGCGCGACAGCCTCCAGCGGCTGCTGGGGGGCAGGGGTTGCGAGGCAGCCGGGCCCCAGGTTTGGTGACAGGACAGGGTCCTGGAAGGGGGCGGGGAGGAGACCTCCAGGGCCCTGGGGCGCATGTGCCATACCCGGGGTCTGAGTCCAGGCCTCCCCCGCCCAGGGTCCTGGATGTAAGTCCCCTGATCCCGGGAGGGTTCCTTGTCCGAGGCTATCCAACCCTCCGGGCCCCAGGTCGGAGGACCCTCACCCCGGGGACTCGGGTTCGAGGCCTCCCTCGCCCCCCCCGTGCAGGCGCCTGGCGAACTCCGCTCCAACTTGACCAAGTTGGCTGCGGGCTGCGCGGGCGTTTACCTCGCTTGAGGAGGGGTCCAGGG